TTGTACTTGAGACAGTGATGAATACTTTAACAAAAACTTCAGTAACATGATTAATAGAATGCTAACTTCCCCAGCTTGACAGAGTTCCATTCTCATTCCACATCTGAAAAAGAATCACAGAATTGTAGGGGTTTGAAGGGACCTCAGAGATCATTGAATCCAGGCTCCCTATAGCAAGCGGCACAGGTAGGCAGTCAGGTTGGTCTGGAATATCTTCACAGAAGGAGACTCCACAACCTCTCTGGACAGCCTGTTCCAGAGCTCTGCCACCCTCAACATAAAAAAGTTCTTCCACATGTTTTTATGTTACTTCCTATGTTCAGATTTTAGGCAACTGCTCCATGCCCTATCACTATACACCACTAAGAAGAGCCTGGCCTCATCCATTTGCCAGTCCGCAGTCATTACTCTCTGATTTCCTCCTGCTCTCAGTACAGGAGAGACTTCATCCCTCTGTTTTGGGTTTAGCAATGGCCAAACTAAGGCACCCAACACCATCTTCTGCTAAGGCCCGGGGTAACATTCTCAAGCATCCCACCAGCCTCACGACTTTTGGACTCACCAAGGGCTATGATATGAAAAAGACTGCTCTGGCCTCAATCGTGCTGAGAGATCACAAGTCAGTGCATGAACTCCTCAGAAGAGGAAAATCATTCCCTCAAAATGAAGGAAAAAAAAATAAAAGCACAAGCAGACCGCACACGCAGCCACACACCCGCTCACAAAACGCCCAACCCTACCCCGCTCCCTCAGATGAGGCCACTCCCACTCCTTGTTCCCGCCCATTCTTGTTCCCGCTCATTCCTATCCCCGCCGTCCATCTCCGTCGAGAGCCAATGACAGAGAGGCAATGCCTGGTTGGTCCCGCCCCCAAGCGGAGGGCGCTTCCGGCGGAAGGAGGGGCGGCGGCGCGCAAGATGGTGGCGGGTGGGCTGTGCATCTGCGGGCTGTTCAGGTACGGGGCGGATGGGTGGGGGCGGCCCCGCGCCCTACGGCCCTGCCGAGCCCGAGAAGGGAAGGGGAAACTGCCGGCCTAGCTCTGCCCTGACCGGCTGCGGAGCTTCGGAAGGCAGAGCGGGCAGGAGCTGGGCTGAAGGGGGGCCTTGAACATCTGTTGAGGATTCTCTGTGCGCCTTGTGCTGTGCCACGCTGCTGCGGGCGCGCGGCCTTTGGAGTAAATGTGACACGTTGAAATAGAGCGGGTGATATTTATGTAGTGTAATAACGCAAACATAAATAATGTCAATAAACCATCGCTGACATCTGTAAAAAAAATTGCTGAACAACGTAGAATAGTGGTTTTTGAATGTAATTATTGAAATGGAGCAGCGATGCTGATAATTTCAGCAGTTAGAAGAACTCAAGAAGTTGTCTGGCACCCTCTGGCTCTACCCTTACACCCTTCTGTATGGATTTCACATGTAGTGTTTCCTTAAATCAGCTTTATATTTTACAATTTCCACCTTGTTTCAGATTCCTGTGTTCGTTGTTAATCCCTGCATTGTTTCTAAGTGGAGTTCTGTGCACCTGCTTGGCCGTCCTGCTGTGTGGAATAAGGCTCTGGATACAAGGAAGGAGAAAGCAGCAGAACCTGGCAGGAAGGGATGGGAGGCAGCTACTGCTGGTTGCGTTTTTTCATCCCTATTGCAACGCAGGTGGTGGAGGAGAGAGAGTCTTGTGGTGTGCCATAAGAACGCTCCAGAAAAAGTAAGCACATCTGTTTATCAGGTGATACCATATTTTGCTCTGTTTCTCATGATATCATTTATGCAAATGATGACATTTTGCACATTTGAATAGATATCATTGATATACGGGTCCTACATTTCACCTTTCTTCTTCAGCCCTTTACCCACGTTCTGTTCCATTCTCTGTCTCCTTCATAGCTGTGGCACCTGTCAGTTCTTTCCTCCTTGGCAGAATCTGTCCTTCTCCATCAGTTTTGCAGCACTCATAGGGAGCTTTTAGGGTCATAACTTGTGTGTAGGTAACTGATGATCTAGTCTCAGTAATGGCCTCTTAGTGCAGGAGACTGAGTTAATACATAAAGTGATTCAACATTGGCACGTCCACTGGCTTGCACAGTCTTTTGCATTTCACTCATGCTGTACACTGGATGGACATTCTAGTATGCTGCAAGGCGTTCCTAAACCTGTTGATTAATACTGGGATCCTTTCTTTACAAAAAAATTCCTGGTCCCCAGCTTTGACTTTAAAAAAAAAAAAAAAAAAAGTGTAAGGGAAAGAATTCATATCATCAATTTAGTTACATGTAAGTTGTTCCAGAGGTAGGCCAGACGTTTGATTTAGAACATACGTTTTAGTAAATTTTGAGTGGATAATATTTGAGTTTTGTGTTAGAAAATTTGATGAGAAGAATGAGCGAAATTCTCTTCTCTTCCAGGTACAGGAATGTAATGTGTGTTGTTTACACTGGTGATAGAGATGCCACTGAAGAAGACATAGTAGAAGGTGCTTTCAGAAGATTCAACATTAAATTAACTCATCCAGTGAAGTTTGTATTTCTGGAAAAACGCTATCTTGTGGAAGCTTCTCTTTATCCTCGCTTCACTTTGCTGGGACAAAGTTTAGGCTCCGTGTTTCTCGGTTGGGAAGCTCTTCTCAAGTGTGTTCCAGATATTTACATTGACTCGATGGGTTACGCTTTTACGCTCCCCCTCTTTAAATATTTAGGAGGTTGTCGTGTTGGATGCTATGTCCATTATCCCACCATCAGCACCGATATGCTTTCTGTAGTTAGGAATCAGGATACCAGGTTTAACAATGCGGCTTTCATTACAAGCAATCCTCTCTTCAGCAAACTGAAACTTGTCTACTACTACTTGTTTGCCTTCATGTACGGATCGGTGGGTTACTGCAGCGACGTGGTTATGGTCAATTCTTCCTGGACACTAAATCACATTCTTTCCCTCTGGAGAACTGGGGCTTGCACTAGCGTTGTGTATCCACCATGTGATGTTCAGTCCTTCCTGGATATCCCACTGGAAGAGGAAAAGAACAGTGCTGAATATTCTATTGTTTCTGTCAGCCAATTCAGGCCTGAAAAAGATCATCCTTTGCAAATCCGAGCCTTTGCTAAGTTGCTGAAAGAGAAGAGACTGAGGCAGCAGCTCTCATTGAAGCTTATTTTAATTGGAGGCTGTCGGAACCAGCAAGATGAAGACCGTGTGAATAACCTTAAATGTCTTTGTGAAGAGCTTGGAGTTAGTAACAGTGTGATGTTCAGAATAAACATTCCCTTTGAGGAGTTAAAGAAACACCTGGCCGAGGCCACCATTGGCCTGCATACAATGTGGAATGAGCACTTTGGCATCGGTCAGTATCCCTCCTCAGCTTTCAGCTGCTTGTCTCAGTGATCAGAACGCAGATGAGGAGGGCTTCAGTTTGTGTTTGAACCTAAGAGGTCTGCATGCCAAGCAGGTGACCAAGTCCTGTTCTTGGCAATGGTGATCTAACAGGTAGAACCTTCAAGACCAGTTCAGATGTCAGATCACTAGGTGCTGCTGTAGTGCAAGCTGGATTGTTGTAAACATCGCAGACTGCATTATGGGCATCCTCTAGTCACTTAGACAACAAATGCCATCTGTTTAGGATGTCCTGCCTGACATTCAGCTATTACTCTGCAAGCACAAAGTCCCTGCAGCTGAAGGCCTGTGTTACATGTGTCAGACTTACACAGATGCCTTCTGTTCCCTGCATAGCCTATGCTGAAGCAACTTAGTGCTCTCTTGGCTCCACTGACTGCAAGGGGAGTTTAGACACTTAGACGTAGCTCACATGCAGAGAGATTCTGAATGTTCCATCTGCTTAACTGCTATTTGAAATGCCTAATATGTGTCAGAGGGCTCTAGCTGCTGTTTTGGAGGTGAGTTTCTCGGAGTTTCTCAGAGATAAAATACATATTTTATATATAAATATATAGGCCATCTCACTTCATTCGATGCCTGCGCTAACGTCAGTCCTAAAATCAGTCATTGTGGTGTGAAACTGAATCTCAAAGAGGGACTGAGACATGGTTTGCAGTGTGCTGCCATGCAGAATTAAGGTATCGGGCACAGTTTATTGGGATTAGTTGGGTCTTCCTGTCTTCCCTGAAAGGGAATGTAAGATTGCCTGCACCGTACAGCTACAATATGGTAAGGCTGGAGGCAAACAGAGGGTTACTGAGCTTGGCTATGAAGTGACCAAGCTGAAGTTAATGTCATCAGACTTTATTAGAATCAGAGCTTGTGAGAGCATTAGTCCGTATTTTTCACACTTATCTAGAACTCCAGTCTATATTAATTCATAATTCCAGGTGAATTTTATTACGGATTTAAATTTCCAGTGAACTATTGAAAGCCAAAGCATGCGATGTACACATTCATGTCATGTTTTCTGTCTTTTACAGGAGTGGTTGAATGCATGGCAGCTGGCACAGTTATCCTGGCTCACAATTCTGGTGGCCCCAAACTGGATATTGTGGTACCCTATGAAGGACGTATGACGGGCTTCCTAGCAGAGAACGAGGACAGTTACGCCGAGACAATGGCTCACATCTTTTCCATGTCTCCTGAAGAAAGGTTAGAGATCAGAGAAAGTGCTCGCCAGTCTGTGTGCAGGTTTTCTGACCAGCGTTTTGAAGAGACATTCCTCTTATCTGTGGAGCCCTTATTTAAATGAATGTGAACAAAAATGCATAGGAATAAAACTTGTTGTGTTGGACCCCCTGTCACCTGTAAATACGTGTAATTTATGGTCCCTTGCTCCCATTCAATAAAGAGATCTTTCTTTTTTCTGTCGGTATATGTTTTATGTAATAGAGAGAGCTTACTGGGAAATAAATACTCTCTTGTATTTCTGATGAAAATTCTATATTCTTAATGTGCAGAATCCTTCCTAGAACGCTGTGTTTCATGTTTTTACAGATAGGTGCATATATATGTATATGTATGTGTTTCTTCCATTGGTAAAGTTAAGTACTCCAACAACATGAGAAGAAAAATGTAGTTACGTTTAATGAAGAAAAATGTAAGCAGCTGTTTCTCATATAGTCTTGGTGATTTCATTACCTATAGCAGTTCCTCTAATACAATTTGCTAGCTTGCTTTTTTAGTATCATAATTGTCAGTCCTCACATTAGCTCTTTCCTCACATCCTTTACAGTATGGCATAGTATTTCTCATGTTCTATCCTACTGAAAGATTTTCTGCTCCTACGAAATAAGAGGGCCTAAATTAGAGACCATAATTAGATAGCACACAAATACAAACCTCACAGCTCTAAAAGAGTGCTTATGACACTGAGAACTAAGTGAGCAAAAAGTTAAAATATGAAGCATCCGTTTTCATATCCAAACTGGAGAAACACTGTTTGTGAGGTTTTTTGGGCCATCACAACAATGTTTTAGGTTGTGCTGAGAACTACAAGAAAAGTGCAACAAGCTACTGAAATCAGACTTTAGAACATGTTTTTTTCTTCTATTTAAACTTCACCTGTACTGATGACATTTTGTATGTGAAAAAAATATGGTTGGAAAAACGCATGTTTAATCATTGGCAATTAATTAATTCACTGGAACCCTTTCCTAAGTTTTATTAGGAACTGGGGAATGCACAATTCTCATGGCACAGTAAGACCTCTTACTGCTGCTGTATAAGTTGAGTTGGAGGTGCAGTCAGCGCAGTATAAATGAAACTACATGAAATACTAAGGTGCACTGATGGTACTGAGGGGTTGTGAAAAGCTGGAAAAGCTTCTTAAAATGGGATATTGATTGATTATGAAAATAAAATACACTGACTGGGAGACTTTCTGACATGATATAAAAAAGGCTGCAGAGTATGCAGTCAGAAGTTGCCCAGGCAAGTGTCAGAGATGTCCCAGGTAGTTTACATTAATCAAGGAAAGTGCATTGCATACACAATTCTGGACTGGAGTTGTTCAACATGTAGTAATCCCAAAAGTAGCTTATTTTTTTTAATGTTTATTTTTTTATTTATAAATTTATTTTTATGTTATTTTTTTTTTCCTTTAAAAAATGTCAAGAAACATCTTAATTGTTTAACACTATTGAAAAGCAATTGATTTACCTGGAATTTATTGACAGCTACCTGTTTTTTATCATTATTGTTTTACTGATGTAGTTCACATTTCCAGGACAATTTTGTTTTGAATCAGTAATCATTCTTGTGCATCACGTAGCTGTTGCTTGCTTTTTCCATTATTTGCATCTAAAGTAAGTGACCCGCAGTTACATTCTAACTCATCATTACATTTCTCAAGTAGTTTGCTAGGTAAGCTTGTGCTTTCTTCATGAGCTTGATCTTTATTTATTGAAAGCACAGAAGTCTCTGTGCATCTCTCTGCTGAAGACGTTACCGCTTTTTCCAAAGCTGCTTCCAGCTCATGTCTCAGCTCATCTCCAGAGTCTTCAAAATTCCTGTAAATTAAGCAAGAAATCTGTATTCATTAAGTGTATGTTGTTACAAGTGTTTCTAGTTTCAGTGCCTTTGAGACTTTTACAATGCTTTGTAAAGAATATACAAGCTACGTAGAAAACCTAAGTTGTGTCTTCACCTCTTTTTGTGAGATCTTTTGCTATCTAAATGGGAACCAGCCATGTCAATACTTAGGCCTAACATTTTTAACATCAGCATTAGCTTTTGAAAATAAATTACAGAGTTGAAAGGTACATTAGCAGACTGTAAAACAAGTTTTCTTCAGTTATGAATTTAAAAGAATGGAGAAAAAGAGCATCAGGCAATACATCCTGCCACTTCATGAAAACTTCATCGTATGAATTTGATTTCTGATGTGCTTGACTTACGTGTCTTCATCATCTGATCTTGGCTCAAGTCTGCCTTCATCAACAGCAACACAGGCACACGTTTCTGAATCATCTTCCTTGCTTTCTTCTGAAGGCAACAAGGTTAATGTCTTTATTTCCATATTAGCTAATTATAAAATAGTATCTAAAATAATAGCAAATAAATACAGCACTGAATACAGCACTGTCAGTACTGTGCTTAACCGACTTCAGTTATTCCTGATGGCATGTTTTAGTCAGCAGTTTGTAACTTCAGCTCGGTGTAATCCAGCATGTTTGCAGACCACAACCAAAGGACTATAAAGGGTAAGTAAGAATGCAGATCTGATGTTGGGAGGTTAAGTACCAAATACAACAGCCTCTATTTTCAGTGGAAAACTTAGGAGAATACTGTGTGGGAAAGGCTGAAAATTACTGCTTGAATATAGTAGCTATGATTCGCTGAAACTGCTCACTTTTAGAGACTGGAAGGCAACTTCAACCTGAGAAGTGGGAGAACTGTTCTAAGGGTTGTTTCAGTACACATGGGATGAATCCTGTGTGTAGTCCAACTGAAATCTGTCGGTTTGGGTAACAATGTATTCCACAATGACAACTTTTGTAGCAGGACAGAACTGCGTATTGAAGGAGGGTGGTATTTTAACGTATAACTGCTCAAAGGAATAGCACTTAAGAATACCCACATGACCTTATTCTTGCTTTAGTTCTATGGGCTGCTGACATTAATGAAAAGGAAATGGCCACAGGTTGTATCAGAGGAGGTTTAGATTAGACATAAGGAAGAACTTTTTCTCTCAGTGGTCAGGCACTGCAGTGGCTGCCCAGGGAGGTGGAGGAGGCGCCGTCCCTGGCAGTGTTCAAGAGGCGCCTGGATGAGGAGCTGTGAGATTTGGTTTAGTGCTTGTGGTAGCAGAGGTGATGGGAGGATGTTGGACCAGATGATCTTGCAGGTCCTTTCCAACCTTGTGAGTCTATGAAAAGTGATTTGCTTTTTTTTTTTTTCTTTTCTTTTTTTTTTTTATGTGTAAGCTTTAAAGCCAGTTTCCAGAAAGGTAATTCAGCCTCATTAAGCCTTCAGGATGGAGCAGTTTTTCAAAAGCTTGTTATTCTATTGGAGCATGTATGGGATGCATAATTAGCAAGAGAGTGCTGTCTGCACTGCTGTGAATGAAAGATATTTCTCACGATCCACTAAAAATATTGAAATTTGGTGCATGCAATTTATTTGGCTTCCTGTTTTCCAATTAAACATTCAGTAGACTGGCAACTCTGTGTAAAGCGACACCATTTGGTTACATTTATCTTTCTGTAGAAAATTCTCTGCCTTTTAGCTACGTGCTGATGCATAGAAAATGTCATTTTTAAAGCAGCCTCTTACTTTAGAGAAATGTGCTGCAGCATAAGTGAGTTGAAATCAGTTTCAGTGTCAGCAGTATCAGCATGGACTATGTAAAGCCACTCACGAGCCATTATGTACTACAATTTACAGCTGTTCCACAGAAATACATGTATTTGCACAGATTTGTAGATTTTTTACAAGGTTCTTCAATCTCAACTGCTGCAGAGGCTAATTCCAGGTTTGTGCTATCTCCTGCCTTGTTGCAAGTAGTACCTTAACCTCATTCTGCCCAGGTAAATGAAGAATTATATATAAAGTGATAGCTGGTAAGCAGGTTTTCCCATCTGCTGAAAACAGCTACATCCTGAAAGAGGACTTGCACTGCTGCAGGACAGAGCCAGAGCTGCTGGCAGAAGCTGCCAATGCTTTTCTCATTTGTCAATTGCTTCTAAATTTTCTAAAAGTACTGCTTCTTGTCCTCTGCCAGTAGCACAGTAACACAGTAACTGAAGAAAACCTTGTGTAATTTACAGTAACAGACATCCTACCTATTTCCTCTTTAAGCTGGATGAAGGAATCATTACAGAGCTCTGCTTTTGCTAAGATGTTCAGGAGCGTCCCTGGGGCTGTTTGTTTCCACTGCTTCCTGTTTTCTGTGATGTCTTCAGGCAGAACAACATGGTCAGCTGAAGAACAGGAAGGTTCTCAGGTCACTAAATCATGACTGTGGCTTTTCACTGCCTTTTGCCAGAATTAAACTGATTTTGACTCTAATTTCTTCCTTTTGTGCAACACTGGACAGTCCGGACTGTTTGTCACTAAAGATTTCTTAACACCAGTGTTTATGTTCAAGTAATAAGCATACTTGAATATCCTGGAATAAATGGGTAGAGCTTCACTGAGCAGTCCTTGTTCTCAGACTTGTTGGTTGGGAGCTGAAAAGCTTCCGAAAAGTTCCTGTTTCTCTTGTTCCCTGTGTCCATCACCTAATGTGCAAGGAACAACAAGTGGCACCCTAACAATATTTTGCTTTGTCTTGACTATCTATGCAAACTCTTCAGGTTGTTTCTGTGTATCTGGGGTGTTGGGAGATTGCAAGGATGCTGGACAAGTCCTTTGTTTACAGCACCCAGTCACTGAAGCTACCTTTCTGTCTGGGAATATATGCACTGGTACTGCAAGAAAGTAAACAAATCACCTCTTCAGAAAAGGAAAACCACCACAGTCACATCTGCGTAAGGATGCACTCGTGATGTGTATTAACACGGGTAACCAGAACACCACCACGCTCTTGGATGACTTTGGCCACAGACTGCCAGAGTTCTTTTGTATTATCAGCTCTACGCCTGAGAAAGCTGCGTTGATTCACTGCAGACTGGCAGCGAATTACTCAGGTCACACAGTGATTCCTAAAACTGTGCTCTTTCTATTTATGAGCAGCAAAACATGATTGCAGTATTAGAGGGGAAAGCAATTCTTTCGTTCTGTGGTTTAACACATCCAATAACCTCAACTATTACAGTGTCCTTCCAATTAAAAGCCCGTTTGATCACGTGAATGTTCTGGTATGGAAAAGTTTGCAGAGGTATTTAAATGAGCAGTCTGGCTGAATTTTAGTAGCTCCCCACTTTAGCTCATTGAAAAGCATAAAAACTTTCTTACAAAGTTCATTTTCAGCCATAGTAGGACATACAGATACCGATGAAGTATCAGTATTGGCTAAACATTTCAGTAGTGTCTGGGGTGTTCCAGCTTGCCAATGCTTTCTTTTTTTTTCAGTATCACCTGCATCACTGGATGCTAGAGAGAAGAAAAAGAGGAAGAGGTTATTTCATTTTTAAATAGATTTCAGGAGGTGAAACATTGATAGTGGTATAAGATATTGAAGTGAGAGAGAAACATCAGATAAACTTGTTATGTCTTGCAGTTACTGAACTTATCTAGCTCTCACCTTATTTTCAGGACTCATAGTCAATTGAATTTCCCTATGAAATACCTGTTTGGTGTCCAGATAATTCTCCCAAGGCCCTGTCCATAGGACTTTCATAAACATTCAACAATTTGTCTTCAAGATTCTCACTATCCACAGAAGTTAATATCTCATTGAGTTTATCCTGTACCTGGAAAAAAAAAACAAGGTAGAGAATGATGGTCATGAAAACATTTAAACCTTAGATATGGAGCTACTGTCACCATTCCAGATTACTGATGTAAGTGCTTTGAATATAAGTGAACCCTACCTCTGCTTCTTGAATGCTGTCTTCCTCAGGAACACACACATCTAAATTAATTTCAAATTTTACTCCCCCCTAAAGAGAATTCAAACACTTCATTAAAATATTAAAGTACATAATTAAAGGCACACAGTTTATAGAGAACTACAAACTTGAAAACCATTGCTCTGTTAAAAATGACTTCTGTTTAGCAGCATTTTTCTTTAACAAGATCAAAGAAGACAAAAATAGATTGTTCTAAAGAGCAGTTTATGGATATTTCCAAAAGACTGCATTCAGTAGAGAAAGCCATCACTGATTTTAAGAAAAGGTGTCTTTAACAATCATTTAATTTAAATACTTGTAATACACTGAGTTGGTTCTTACGCTGTTTCTCAGCCATTATTAAAATCTGTTTCAGTGCAACACTTCACAAAACACCTTTAGGCCACTTCAGAATGATTTTATGGTCCAAAACTTTCCTGATGTCTCATGTGCATTCCCATTCATTTCCAACCCCCTCTTACAATTCAAAAAGCACTGCAGAGAATAATGTTGAACAAAAATATGTTCAGACAAGCAGTTTGATATTCAGATGAACAAATGGGGACTGATTTCTCTCTGGTAAGATTTAAGTGGGGTCTCCCTCAGAAGACCCGAAAAGCTCTGCCATATGTTTCTTAGTCATTCTGTCTTGTCACAGAAACTTAGCAAATGGTCCTCCTAATTGGTTCTCAAATACTTTGATTTCCAGAGCTACTGTGGCATCACTGTACAGATTTAATAAAATGGCAAAACTTATGGTAAGTACGGATACCTTTCTGCTGCATTTCTTCTCTAGATTTTGTTGGTCTTGCCTGTCCTGGAGTCTGACCTGTTTAAAGTTTTCTTCCATGCCCTAGGAGAGAAAAACAACAACTTTAAAATATTTGGAAGCAGAATATGTATATACCTTATGTAAAAAGACTTGGTTCAGTAATAAACCTAGTCACTGATTTCCTTATATATGTGTCTTTAAGAATATTCCATTCATTGCTTGGTTTCATACTGGCAGACTTTGGAAATGATGAAAATCAATATTGTAACTGAAACCTGTACCTGTACAAAGTCTAGTTTTCATGTGATCTTGTTTTCTGGTAACACCTAAAAATTACTTAATTATCCCTCTGCATATTCCTAAATCCTGTGTTAGAACATGCCTCATAAAAGCAAAGAAAATGATTGTACACATGTCTATCAATGATCTGCTGTACATCTGCTCATCATCAACATCAGGAGAAGCCACAACAACTCACTGACATTTTATAAACATCTGTGGAGTTTCTCCAGTTGATGGAGTGCCCACAAATTAAGGTGGCATCAAACAGGCATAAAACTTACTTTTCTGTCCAGCTGTGGCTGGAGTTGCCTATAGCCTAGCCTATCCCAGCAAGGGATTTCATTTTAGTAAAAGCTGGAATTAGGATCCATTAATCACTGAAGAATCACTGCAGTAGGGTAGCAATGTCTGTCACATTTTATGTGGAAATCTGCCCCCTGCTACTCAACACTGCACAAAGTCCTACACCACATGAAACAAATTCTGGCATAAGAATCCGACCACCTACACAAGGGCTGTTCTTTCAAAATCAGCCATCAGTTTGTGCTCTGATAAATAATTTGACAAGTTGACGCTTTCATGTGTTTCACTCCTGAAATTACTGCTGTAGAACTACATGTGGTCTGGAAATCTCATCTGGTTTTCACCACACCACTATTTCAAAGTAAAAGTGGAATGATTCTGAAGCTCCATTCCAGCGGCTGTTTTGGAAGTATCTGATGAGGAAGAAGTGATGAATTCCTGCAGATGGAAATCTTTGGCTCCGCTTCTTACTACCACTTCTCCCAAATTTCTGTTCAGGTAAGAAATCCACATAAAACTGGATTGTAACTTACTCCCCAAGTGAGCATCTTCCTTACAGAAGTATTCATGTTCTACTCTGAGCTCTTATTTAATACATCTTCTGTACAGCATTCTAATGAAGATTTACAGGGAGTGATTTCCTTTTTCCTTCACTCAGAAAGGAAGGAGAAGAAACACACCACAAAAAGAAATGAGGTGGAAGTACCTTTCCATAATCAAACAGGGGGAAGAAGAAGTGACCAAACGGAATTAGAACTAGTCCAAATAAGCTTTCCAAGCTGCTCATGAAGGAAATCAAGGGATATTTTCATATGTGGTACAAATATCAGTTAAGATTTAGACTTTACATTTTCCATAATAGTCCCAGAGAGTGAATCAAAGACTATGAATAAAAAGTTCTGTATAGACTATAGGATGGTACTCATACCTCAAGTGACTCTCCTCTTATTCCAGCTGTATCTTTGGTTTCAGAGTGGTCTTCAGTTTTCCCTTGACTCACCAGAAAGGTTTTATCTTGTATTTTTTGATTCTCCTAAGGAACATATTGATAAAATTTTCATTTCAGTTACTAATTAAGTGTATTACCTTAAAAAAGAAAAAGGAAAAGGAAATACGACTGCATATATGTTTGATAGGAAAGGAAATATGACTGCTTTGCTACCTGGTGTACCCTTGCTCTTAATCTGATTTCTTTCATATTGCTGTGGTATTCTTCACGAATTTTCTGCAACTGCTTCAGGTACTCCTATTAAACAACAATAAGTTAGAATGCATATTTATTAGAAAGGCATAGAGAAACAGCAATATAAAGAACACCACTGTTGAGGAGTGTAGGGAAACAGCTTTAAGCAACTAAGAAAAACATCTTCTTTACCTGTTCTTTCATCTCACTCTTTCTAGACGTGTCCTGCTGATGCATTTTGAGATGCTCCTCATCTATGTTTTGCATCTGCATTTGGTCATGATATGGGTCAGCAGAGGATGGCCGCAGCCCCTGTGGAGGCACAAACAAACCCCAAAGCAAATGAATTTTCACTTAGAATCCTTTCTTCAGTGCTCACTGAATTCACTTTCCCTCTTCCACTGAGGAGTGCAGTAAGGCAAGTGCGTATTTTTGGAAGTAAGAGTCATTGTAGAATTTTACATTGTTACAGTTTTACATTAAAAATAAAACCCGAAGATGACCACTGTAGAGCAGATCAACAAATTTGCTAGAGCAGAACTTTCTACCTGTCACTGTTACAGTCTATTAGAAAGACATCAGTACATCTTGAGGATTTTCATTCAGATTCTGTCACTGATTTGATTCAGTATTCACTCACCAGCTGTTTTTCCACTTTAATCTTGTACTGCTGGGCTTCAAAGCGCCTTTGAAGGTATTCTGCAGGCCTGAGAGAAGAAAGTGACATCCTTATCCTGCATTTTATTTCACAGATTCTATCTTGTGCACAAGCAATACTCTGCCAGCTCTGTTTGTACAACATGAATGCATACGTATGGATAAAATATGTATAAATACAAGACAACAGTATAATAGCAAAAAGAAAACATACACTCTTTGGGCAGCTCCTTTCCTATTATTTTGGTTATCTTAGCCTTCTGAAGAGCAGAGTACCTTTTCACCTTTTATTTGAGAAATGGTATGTGAAAATGTTAATGAGAATAAAGTCATTTTTCCTGATCCTCAAAATAAGTGGTCAATGGACAGGCACTCTCAGAAAGTTTCTACCTCTGCTTTATAAAAGAAAGGCTTTGAAATCCACAGACCGCTGAAGAGCAGGTCTTTATAACTAAAACCAAAATATAGGCTTCCAAAAAACAACATCTGCATGGCTTGTCTCCCACTCCATCCCCTTCAGTACAGAACAGCTTTTGCTCTTTAGTTCATTCTGTTTCTGATGGGAGGAAAAGACAATGTTTATCTTTGATATGGTCAGAAAGTCTACAGAAAGGTTGTGTTTTACTCTTCACTCGATGAGGTATGGGAGACATTTTGATAATGAAATTTCAAACATCAGGACAATACATTCAGAAGGAACTTCTGGATTGAGAAGAGCAGGAGTTCCAGTGTTGTACAATAGACCTGTGCAAAAATTATCAAAGACCAAGCAGAGAAGGAAAGATTACATAAGCTATAATTACAGTGCTACCCAAAGAGGAAGACTGATTACTCAAAATAATGAGTGACAGTTCACTACTAGGAAGTAATGAGAAAGGTTTACCATTCAGGTGGGGGGGGTGGAGGTGCAATTTGTCCTTTTAGTTTATAATATTCCTCTGCTCTTTGGCTGATGTGAGAAAGGTCATAACATGCATTAATTTTCCTTTGCAAATTGTCGAGTTTATCATAGTAATGACCATAATGGCCATGTACTCTAATGTTTTCTGGCCTTTGTGCCATCTTAAATCTGGAGCTCTGTGGCTGAAAATATAATAAAGGATGTTAATTTAATTGTTTTCATTAGTATCAATACCAGTTTGAACTATTTCCTATCCTCCCCATTCTGAGTTGCATTTTAATACAGTCTGTGTAACTTAGTGTAAGTACAGTTAGTGTAAGTTCTCAAAATCATTTCACAAACTTCATAACTTGTTACACACAGGGTGTATGTAATTTTACTGTCCTCCTCTTTTCCCTGTTCCATCATCTCCTGTGATTAGACAGCAGCCCATGTTGTGTGAGTCAGGGCTTTGTGCCCTGTAACTTAGCTGTCCTTGAGCCACACCACTGTTCCAAAGTCCAGAACACTGAGATAATTCCAGGATAGTCTTATATGTGACAGCAGTGGGAACGTGGGACATCATTTGGGGCAGTAAACACACAGACTAATGTTTTCTGGGGAGCACTGTGCTGCTCGTGTCAGCATCTCTTTGATTATCTGCCTGTGGGAGTTAGCTTCTCATTTCTCAAAGTCCTTTCTGTGATGCAACTTTCCTGCATCTCTAATATGCAACAAGACTGCCTTTTCCATCTCATAAGAACAACCAAGAGAAAGGTCACATGCTGCTGCATGATATAAAAGAAGTGTAACAAGACATCAATGAACTTTTCCACACTGGGAGACTAAAAACATCACATGGTGTATGAGAAAAAAGCTGAAAAAAGCATCTCAGGGTCCCTTGCTTAGCCAGTAAATACGTTATCTATTCCTCCCTGTTTTGCACCTCTACCCACAGCACAGTGCAGATTAATGCACAATACAGATTCATATCTATGTAAGAAGAAAAATTTTCCACTGCCAGTAATATTCCTAAAAAAGAGGTAACTTCAGAAAGGGTACATGTTGTGCCTCATTATAGGAAATTTTAGAGTATGGTGTCCATGAGTATGGCAATCCAATGCCAACAGGAAAACTAAATCAGACCATCTAAATAGGAAAACTGAGAACTGTGAGCAGTGAATGCCTGGTGATACAGAACAGTTACAGAATGAAAAAGGCTGAGGTACTGAATCCCTTCTTTGTCTCAGACTTCAGCAGCAAGCGTGGCCTTAAGGAATCCCAGGGCCTTCCGACCAGGGAGAGAGTTTGGAGCAAGGAAGACACACTCTTGGTGGAAGAGGATCAGACTAGAGAACACATCAGAAACTGAACATAGATGAGACCATACATGAAAGGAGACTGAGGACTGAAGGAAAGCAGATGTCATTCCTATCTTGCAAAAAAAGCAGGAAGAAGGAAACTCCAGGCCAGGCAGCCCCACCTTGATGCCTGGCAAGGTGATGCATCAATTTATCCTGGAAATCATTTACAGACACAGAAAAGACAAGAAGGTGATCAGGAGTAGTCAGTATGAATTTACAAAAGGAAGATCACACTTGACTGACCTTATAGCCATTTTCAATGAAATGACTGGCTTGGTAGACAAAGGGAGAGCAGCAGCTATTGCCTACCTTGACTTTAGAATAGCTTTTGGTAGTGTCTCCCAGAACATCTTCAAAGAAATGCTGACCAAGAATGTGCTGGAGGAGTAGCAACGTAGATTGAAAACTGGCTGAATCATGTTGATTCTGAGCTGATCATGCTACACAGCTGGATGTCACCAGCCAGCAAGGCACCCCAGGGGTCAATACTGGGCCAGATAGAGTTTAACATCTTTTGGATGATGGATGCAGGCATTAGGTTGAATTTAATAGGACCTCTTCTAACATTAGGAGTTTATCTTCTATGATAATTAAATGTTATGAGAATGTGGATGAACAGTACCTGAAGCTGTTGCCCTCTTGAAGAAGGCTTCCATTCATTTCTTTGATATAATTCCTGCGTTGTCATAGGGGCTACCATTTCAGATCCTGGAAGAATTTGGTCCTGGACTCTCCTTCTTTGAAGCTTACAAACTTTTTAAAAATAAAATATTAAAAGGTTACTATCGTTGCTTTCTACACGATGCACTGGGAAAGCATAGTAGGGTGTATAAACCTAACACTGACAGGCTGAATTAATAAACACTCCTTACATCCTTTCATCACAGAATCATATTTTATCATACCTCTCAGTTCCCGAGCACTCTGCTTTTCATTCTTAGAATGACATGGTTTTGAAACAGTGTAACTTGTCACACTCACGTAACGTGGATTTTACTAATCAGTTTTGCAAAGAAGTACAATAAATAAAAGGGAGACCTGTGTAAACCAGAACCACATGGCAGCTTTTCTAACTGAGTGCTGCAAATGATCTGTGGTCTCTTCCTGAACAGGTAGAATAGCGATGCACTGTCTAGGGTGAATGTTTCTGCTATTTCAGTTCTCTCCTTGTATTATTTTCAGATTTGGCTGAAACTCTTATATCCAAATGTGCAATAAAGACTGCTGATGAAAGTTATCACCATCAACCACATTGTAACTAACAAACACTAGTGTAGAACCAATGTTAAGTAACATTACCATTACCTGGCATCATCTTGACTTCAGGCAGTGATCCCGAAGGCTTCCTTCTCTGTATCACAGTGTGACTGAGTTCTTCCTGTGTTAACAATAAGCAACATAAGTATCTGACAGAACTGTTTTATACTATGATACACATTCTCCTCTTGCCAAGCAGCATTACAAGGTACTCACCTCTGGGGGCAAATGTCTTAGAACAAGCTTCTGCAAGAAGGGCTTCCTTAAAATAGAACTGATAGATGGTCGATCTCTCGGAGATATTTTAAACAACTGGGAAATTAACATCCTCAGATCATACGAATATCTGGGAGACACTGGGTGAAAATATCCTCTGCAGATCTTCAGCACCAGCTGATGCAAACTATTGCCTTCAAACTTGATCAGTGAAAAACATAAAAAGGTGACAGTACTGCTGGTTGGAAGTGATGCCTTAGAATCATCGAATCATTATGGTTGGAAAAGACCTCTAAGATCATCTAGCCCAACCATCCTCCTACCTCCAGTGCTGTCCACTAAACCATGTTCCTTAACATCACATCTACACGTTTCTTGAACATCTCCAGGGACCGTGACAGCCTGGACAGCCCATTCCAGGGCCTGACCACTCTTTCAAAGAAGATTTTCTCCCTAATACCCAACCTGAACTTCCCCTGGTGAAACTTAAGACTGCTCTTTGTCGCCCTATTGCCGATATCTCAACATGAAAAAAGGCACTTGCTGACAGCAGCTCTGTGCTATGCGATCTCTTCAGAAATCAGTTCTCATCACCTGTAGTTTGCTGAAGAAAAATTAACATAGGCACTTTTTTAATGGATTTTCTGGTTATGTTCCTTATTTCTGCTGTGTGACTCAGGAGGTGTGCTAGCTTTGGTACTCGGAAGAAGTTTTTCATATTCTACTGCTATACAGCAACATAGACATAATTTTTCCAGAAATACACAAGATTAATCTTGCCAAAAGCTGTTAAGCAGAGACCTGCATACATACTGCCTTCACAGCATTCAGCTTCAAAGCCTCAGTTCACACAACTTATCCTCTGTGTTCTGTGTTCTCAGGAACCAAGGCACAAGCTGATTTTTCATTACTGATGCAACTCAGCTGACTCAATCACAATACATTGTAGTTTGGTATGCACAAAACAGACACAATACAAAAAATTAAACACTGGCAGTCATGCTTAAATATCAATTCCAATAGTTAATTAATGCTGTTATTTCTACAAATTTTCTAGGCTGTCCACTTTCTTTTTAATAATATGATACTGATCTAATTATAAGGTACTTACAGGATGCTTCAGTGCACATAGCTCATAGAGCACACAGCCAAGAGACCAAATATCTCTGTGAACAAAAGGAATTAAAGTTTCATGAAAAGCCACTAATATTTATTTACGTGTAATCAGTATCTCTTTTCAGCTCTCAAATTTATAGAATCATAGAATCAAAAAATGCCTTGGATTGGAAGGTACCAGAAGGATCATCAAGTTCCAATGCCTTTGCCACAGGCAGAATTGCCAACATAGGCAAAGATCCATCCTCCTCCTGCTCACATCCCAGTCTTCAAATGGAAGGACTGAGGAGAACACCACCTGCACTGCTGATTCCTTCAACACCTTCCCAAAGGATGTAAAGATTTTTTTGATATTTTTTAATATCCTGGTTGCAGTCTCATGCAACCTAGCTTGAAAGACCAGGCAGGGATAGCAGTCAGCTACCTTTATCATACCTGATATCCTGATATCCTCCTCTCAATGAATGCAGGCCCCCAGCAGACAGCAAACCTCTCTAGAGAGGTTATCTGTGCCACAGATTTACTAGCATTATTCCATCAGACATGAGTATTGGTGCACCTTTTGTTTCTTCTTAAGATGCACTGAAAATATAAACCTTACATTTGTTTGGGTTTTTTTAATTGTAGCACCAATGTTTCTCTGGTACCCAACCAGGTACTATCCTTATCATTGGAAAAGGCACATGCTACAAACTATGTCTGCTTAATGTTCCTACCAAGACTGAAGAGCAAAGCTGTCTCTAGCTGATACGTGTGAAGTTTCTGGTGTCCTGCAGAAATACTAACTTAAAGCACAACATGATGAAAAGAAGTCATCTTGTGACTGCACACCCTCATGCACAAGCATAGGAAGAAAACAGAGACTTACGTTTTATTGTTATATGGTCGATTTTCACAGATCTCTGGTGACAGATTATAGGGGGTCCCTACGCATGTATAGGCAAACTCTGTCGTGCTAATGAAACACAATAAACAAAAAGGCTTGTACACTGAAAATGTCTGCAAGCAATCGAGTTAGACTCCACGGGGCATATCATAGCTGCTCTCAATGTAGTTGAGTAATAGCTCAGTGGAACACTCCAAGAAAAACAGAGGCATTTCCCATTACTCTGTAAAAATGACCAACTATTTTAATACAGTGCTTGCACTTCAACAGAAAGCACAAGAATTGTCTTTCCCCCACTTTTTATCAGCACTGTAATCAACATTTTCAAGGAATTATTAACATTAGCATAAAATTCTGAAAGCCATCAACCACACATCAAAATATGAGAAGTCTCTGACTTTGAAGTAAGAATATTTAAGTGGTAGTCAGTCATGCAAGCAAGATAAAGGAGGAAGTGTTGTTCAGAAACTAAAGCAGAAGTATGTGAATTCTGTTTCCATCTTTGCTGCTGACTTGTTATGTAGGTATATAGCCAAATAACACCACCTGGATTCATTTCACATTCTTTCAGACATCTATTCTGTGGGTGTCATCAAGAGTCACTGGGAAGTCAGAAGGTACTCACAGACTGTGATTCCTCTCACTGTGCACTAGATGTCAATTAAAGTTGGAAGTGACACTTTTTAGAGAGAACTCTGAGTGCCAGAGGTGGCAAGGACACTGAACTGAAAGTAGAAATATTGGACACTGTCTGGCAGTTGGAAGTGGAGAATGGAGATGAAAATGCCTTTGTGTATCACAGATGAGGGAGAGAAAAGAGACTGAGAAATTAAAATCACTTGTTATACGAGAAAAGGTTCTATAGAGCCCCAAATATTTTTGTCCCTATAGTCCCTGATACCTATTCAGTACTCCAGTTCTGGAGTTTACTTCCTATCCACCATGTAGGACCAAGCCTCAAAGCAGGTATCCTCAGAACACTTCTGAAGGTAGGCGTTTTCTGCACTAGTATTTTACATGTGAAGAGCTGAGGCTTTGCCAGTGGGTTTGTGCTTCAAAAAGGGGCACACCACAAAGGTATTAGTGATGATGGAGACTGCAGCTAAAATAATGGCACAGCATATCCCTGCAGATAAGGAAGCTTAGATGAAGATACTACCAAAATAAGTTCATTATACTCCAGCTCTCATTGAGACCTCCCAGCTCTGATGTACCACAAACTTACAAGGTTATGCAGGCTTCAGTCCAAAGCCAATCTGACAGGGCCTTGACAGACATTACATGTGCTGCACATTCATGTGATGAATACATAAAGGGATCTCACACATGAACACAGCTAAGTACATCTGAAGAGAATGCACAACTTGTCTGTGCTGGCTAAAGCTATCTGCTCCCTTTACAGTTATTGCGTATGCAGTAACATGATTAAGCTTAGATTAATTTAGTTTAGGGATAGGAGAAGTTACAAGTACATTGCTTCAGATGGAGTACAAAGCACCTAAGGACTGATAACAGAAGGATAACCTACAAAACGATGAACAGAGGAAATTATCTTTCCATAAGATACCTAATGAAATACCAAAACATCATTGGCAAAAGATCCTGCCAAGGTCAGAGCTATCAAGAGGCTAAAAAAGGGACCAAATTCAATCACTGTTTGTTTTTTTTCAATTAATATGACCCCTGGCACGTGTTGGCCAAAAAACCTTTCCCTAAACAATGTCTGGCTATTACATAGGTTAAGGCACGCTGGTCCTGAGTCAGTAAAGATAAGACAGACACTGTCTTTGAGAGAACAGAGTTCAGCCACATGGATGCAAGCCATGATATGCCATTTACTTCAACGTTTCAGAGGAGGGGTTCTAGTCCTTTTTTAAAAAATTAGTATAATTTTGGAGAACATTCTAAGAAAAGAAGTAGTATGAACTGTACAAACTCCTTTCTTATACTCTTTCCTAAGTTTTTAATGCTGTTCACTGCTTTTTCCAAAGCACTAGAATTGATCACCAAAAGCTGCAAGAACAGCAGCTCTGACTGCAGAATATTGTTATGTCGGTTCCATAAGGAACAGTGAAAGATTGAGGCTTCTCCACTCTATGTAGCATAGGATGAGAAACAGCCTATGATGAGAGTTATAAGGATCTGTGGCTTCAAGCAGCATGGCACATTACAGGCTAATGGGAAAAAATACAGTGACAGACTCTTCATATTCTAGACCAAACACAATTCACAGACAATTTTCCCATGCAGGTTACATTCCAAACATTCAAAAAAGAGTCATACTTGGTGTAGATCACATACAAAACACAAAAGGCACTTACTCATTCAACTGTCTTGCTATGCCAAAGTCTCCAAGCTTTGCTACCTTCCCGTTACTACTAAGAAAAATGTTCTGAAAAAGAAGAAGAAACTGATATGTGAAAATGAAACCAAGCAGAGCTTCCTGAGCATATTTTTCACAAGATAAAATCACTCCTTTTCCCATCTCACTTTTACTACCTGTGATTTTATGTCTCTGTGTAAAATCTTCCTGTCATGAATGTGCTTCAAGCCCAAGGAGATCTGTACAAACCAACTCAAAATCTGCAGTAAAGATAAATGGACAGATATGTGTAAATTTGTGTGGATGAAATATATACAACAAAGACAACAACAAAATCTAAAATACATAGAAAACAGATGATAGAAAACAGTAAGAAATAATACTTTCAAATGACTAAAATCAATGCCATAGACTTTTCCTTTTTTTTCAGTGCTATCAAGAGATGGATATAAATACCTGCTCCCACTTTCTTTAACCCAGTCAAGTTTTCATTGACTGTGACAAGACCATCACTTGAGTATGGACTGAATAATTATGTCAAAGGAGAGAAAGAAGACTAGATCTTTAGAAATGAGTTAACAACAACAACTAAGGCAGAATTGGGTAGTGTCTTCCAAATCCTCAGCAATGGATACCATACCAAGCAGTTATAATACTTGTAATTGTACCAAATGTGGTCTGGAGATAAAGAAACAAGAGGAAGCAGGTCTGAAATGTGGTTAAAAAAACAGAGCTATGAAGGAACTTGGTTATTAAGTAATCACACAAGTTTATCCTTAACCCCAGATAGTTCTTAAGTCTATATCCAACTTCAGTTATATATGGTTTTTATTGAATAAGAGCCACTGGATTTAATTCAGAAACAAAAGTAAGACTTGCTTACATGTTTCTCTCTTCAGGAAAACTGAAGGTCCTGGAAGACTTTAATTGAGTTTCTATAATCTTTTATGCAGAAATGCTTTCTGTTTCACAGATGATTCCCTGAGTGGAGCTGATACAATAAATAGATAAATACTATGCTATGGAGTTCCTCTTTTCCAATTTAAGCAAGAAGTAATGTCATAAAATTTAGAGTACATTTCTGCTAACAGGTTAGATATGTCTATCCAGTATCTAGACAAGTTTTCATTGTAACTGCAAGAGCAGAAGACTACATGCAATTAAATAACGAGTTCAATATTCGAAGTCCAATATGTAGGAAGATTTCCCTCAGAATGCTTAAAGCTACTTAAAAGATCAAGGAGCAGGCTAAGTAGTGGGAACTTCTGCTTCTGTGTACTGCAATACCACTCAAACATACCTATTTACAAATTAAAACGCACGTCAATATGCTCCAAAAGCAATCAGAATTCTGGCCTTGTTTCTCTGGGTTGGTTTAACAGTTTAAATGGCACCAGAAAACACCTAACCCAAATAAAATGAATGGGAGATTCACCACTGACTTCATTCTAAAGCACGATATGTCATGATGCAAATCACACCAGAATGAGGAACTCATACATCATATATCCCCTTGTAACTCCAAAACCCCTTGTAAAATAAACCTGGCTGAGCAGGTATACTACTTATCTAAATGGAATGTGCCTTCACGATGGAAGGAATAAAGGGAAGAGGAATAAAACTGGCATCAAAATACTGTTAATAAATTCATGTAAGATCTTAAAATAGTGTAAAAAGCAAACTCTGAACTGCCATTAAACTCATCGAAGAAATGTTCAGTTTTTGTAACAGTTCATAACAGAAACAGTTGCTAGGACTGGACAATTCAAACAACATTTGACATAATATGTCCTTGGTTAACTGGTTTCACCTGGTCCTCCTCAAACAGTACTCCGTGCTGCATATTTATCCTCTTCATCAAATCTCCACCATCACAGTATTCCATCACAATATACAGCTTGTTTTCTTCTGAAAGGAAAAGTATATTTTTTTCCTTTAGTACTCATTAATACAGCAATAAATTATTCACATTTTTACAGTCTTTCGATTAAGAGAATTAATCCTCTACCTACTCCTCCATTTCAAAGAGTGACTGATTAAACACTGATACCTCCAGTGTCACCTGATGCAAAAGTAAGAAAGACATGAACATTTATTTAAATGGAGATTCACCAGTACATTAAATACATGAGATACACCTCAAGAAACCACACTGATAGAAGAAGCCAGATATTCTTACAGCTAATGCTAATTTCCCAATAAAAATTAAGTATACAGTCAGTGCTAGGGAAAAGGCTGAAAGCAGCAGTTCAATAGCAGAAATAAACACCAGGTGCTATTTACTATGAGAACTCACCCTGTTCTGATTTTTCTGGAGTCCAGAGGACTACCAGATGAGCATGTTCCCTGAAATATTTATAATCCTGATCACATAAAACAATCTGAACAAAAGCAGTAAGTACAGTATTCATTCCACAAGGCATTCCTTATGACAGATGTCAGCAGGAAAAATAAACATAGGGAGTTAGCTTTTATGAAGAACAGCCTTCCTTCCATCTCTTTCAGTCCTATGTCAACTCTGACTTTATAAAGCTTTCCTTCCCTCACAACAGGAAAACACGACTGCATGTAGAAACTGCATTAAAATCAGGGATGGACACATACAGTAATTATGAATAACTGCGAATTATGAGTAATCGTGAGCTTACTGTTGACATGGAAAAGATTCCTGTCTTAGTAACCAACAGTAACATAATCCCACAAGTCCTGGACTGTTGGCAGGCCTTTACCTTGTCCCAGCTCACAGCCTGATCCCAGTCTTTGTTAGAAACAGGTACCCATCTTCAAACAAATATTCAAGAGAGGACAATCCTCTTTGTGGCTCCTGGTTCTCTTCTTACAGTGAACTCAGAAAATCCTAGAATAACTTGAGCCACGGAAGCTTCACTTCCCCCAGCACAAACCCCCTTCTCCCTGTGGGCCTCCAGGAATCACAGAATAACCTGGGACAAAGATTGTTGCACTGCCCAGTACTAACCTTACGTCAAAGCTGAGCTTTCACCAGTACTTGGGATCACTTCCAGCTCTAAAATGAAAAAGGAGATGCAAATCTTGGTTGATTCTAGTCCCCATCTCAAAAGGGAAGGACTCAAAGTAAACCTGGGCCCTCATTTGTTTCCATTCCCAAGCAATAGCTGTAAACTGCAGCTAGCACTGACTTGTAAGGCTTTTGCTCCTGAAATCTGGGAAGTGTTCAACACACTCCCAAACCCCACCCTGTGTTAGCCTCTTACAGCCCCAGTTCTGGTCCCAGACCCAAAAGCCTGTGAGATTGTGGACCCCAAGGAGGCCCAACCCCACTGTGGGGTCTCAGGGTGTACAGTAAGTTCTACCTGCATCATACATTAACTGCATGCTCCCCATGGACACCAGCCTTCATTTTTCTTCACAGGCCCTCCAAAATCCAGCATCAACCTCTGTCTGAAAGCCACTCTGCTCTCTCTTTCAGCCTCAAATTCTAAGCTAAAACTTTTCTGCAAGCTTAGGGATACCTCAGAGTGTGGTATCCCACAAGTCAAAGGCCCACAGGACCTATTTCCTGCAGTACTCCAAAGCACTCTTCTTCTATTGAAGATCCTGGGAAAGTCTGACAGAACTCTGGATCTCTGCTGAAGGTCAAGATTAAAGTTCAGCTAAAGCAATGCAGAGATCCCAGGATCTAGCATTTGATCTTTATGTCCCATCCACTCAGTGAAGAGAGAAAGTAGTGACTAAAGCTGATACCTTGTGTTCATTTTTAGGAGCTGGAAGTGGTCCCTACTGATAAATAAGGTGCTGGGCCCACGCTTCGTGTTGGTCAGTAAGAACAAACCAGACTTTGCTGCCTTTCACCCCTACGGTCACAAATAAAACACAAATGTTAAAAGTAAACCTTGCAAAGAAGCATAGAAGGTTACTATATTTGCATGCTTCATCTTGGCCAGAAGAATGACTTCTTTCTGAGAGGCTTCTTTTTCTTTCACAGGCATCTACAAAGAATTAAGAAACTGCATGCTAGCAGTGATATACTTAACTCTTTCCAAAAGCAGTTACATTGGTGTCAAAGCATTCCTACCAATACAGTAAGACTGCCACAAGGTGATGCAGAAACATTATAAAACACGATGTACACACAGTTTGAAATACCTATTTGCAGCAGATGTTTGGAAATACATTGGAACGTTATCAAATGATGACATCTTACACATGGGCAAATGGACAGCTTTAAACTTTTTGCACAGATGCTACTACTAAGTTGATGAAAAAGTTAACAAAGTTAACAAAAAGTTAAACCTTCTTTATATATTTGAAGAGTACAGGTCAGGGTGATTCTGTATTCTTAATAAGGGTAATTTCAAAAAAATAAAGAAAAAAGTTCTGTTTTACAACTGTTATGAGTTCTTGCAACACTTCAAGCAAAATCTTTACCCTGTTACAGTTAATAGAAGACATATTTGGTTGCAATTACATTTTTATCAATATAATTCCTTTAAAACTCATGCTTCAGAGTACACAGATTCTATTAAAGTGTCCTATTTCATTTGTAAAAATAAGTCTCCTACTCTCGTTCTTAAGAAACAAATATGAAATGTAACCCTAAATGATTCAAAAGATTCAGAAGGCGAAAAGACACACAGAGACACAGCTCATACAAGAAAGAAACACACTCTACAACATCAGACAAATTTTACAACTTCAGAGTCAGAATTTTCTGTAACCAGCTCTTGTTTAACAGCTGGGATAAACTACAAGAAAATATTCACTTTTTTTTTTTTCTATTTTGCATACACTGAAATACAAGATTAGAAATGACCAAATCAAATCAATTTTTTTTTTTCTGGGCTTGAATCTGCAGGTTATATAGTTCTTTCTAGGCCTCATACATACCAGTTTTCTTCTATTATGGTTCTCTCACACACCATAAATTCACTGGTGTGGCCCAGAACACAAGACCTGTCACAAGCACGTAGATACCCAGTGAAAATGACTATTGAAATTCCTGGGAGTTCAACTGCCTGTCCTTCTGGAAGTAGATATAGGAGGACATTACTCTGATACCTGGGCTAGCCACTCTTTCAGCCCACAGAAAGAAACACAGCACTTCTATGGCCCAATTCACCTCAGTCTAGAACAGAATTCTCAAGCACAACAAACAGCATCCTTGTTCTTCTAAAGCAGGCCGGAGCCCAACCAAGTAGCTGAGACGACAACTACAGAATGGACGTTTTGAGTTATACAAATTGAGTTATACAGTTAGACAAACCAAACTGCCACACACAATAAATGAGAATTGGAAGGACTCTGTTGTAAATCACTCATGTCTGAAAACATGGATGTGGGAAAAAAAAAAAAAAAAAGGGGGAATGGAAAAGTTTATAGAAATGTGTCACAGAACTGTGCCTTGTTAATTCATTAGCAAAATGTCATGGTAGCTGAATCATCTGCTATAAAAGTTAAATCGGGTACTACAATGTTTAGTAAGCACAGCTTTGAAAAGAAAAAAAAAACACAGTGAAAAACAAAGTGTTAACACCAAAATATTTACTCTAAATTTGAAAAATCACTAAAATGGCAGTCAAAGAGCACAGAGTCCAAAAAGTTCAACTATGCCTTTGAAGACACATCTACAAATGTGGTAAGACTTCACCCAAGTACACATGCTAGCAGAATGCAATCATCACAATTTGGTCAATAACTACTGTTATCATCCAGGTTTTGCAGTTTTACCTCGGTTAAATCAATCTCCTTGATAACACATTGCTCATCATCCACTTTTGCTTTCGCCAAGAATATTTTGCCAAAAGATCCTTCTCCAATTTTTTTAAGGATTTCATATCTATCCATGAAGTCTCTGTCTTAAAGCAGTAGCTAAAAAAAAAAAATGAATACCCAAGTTAGTATAGCATGTAGTCAGTGCTTTAACATCTGAGTATGGACTGCCAAAATAGAGACTGCCTTACAGTGCTGGAACTTTTTGCACATTTATATCATATTTTTATTACTGCTGCTGATGCTGCCTCCAACTGTTAGCTTCTGGAAGTCTGCAAATAATTGTGGACCTGCACTTTCAATAAGCATCAAATAAAGGAAAGATTGAAACACAGAATTGTAGAATCATTAATGCTGGAAAAGACCACTGAGATTATCCAGTTCAACCATCAGTCCATTCCCATGACACCCAGTGTCCTTCAGTGCCATATCCACACGTTTCATGAACACCTGCAGGGATGGCAACTCCCTGGGCAATGTGCTTCAATGCATCACCACATCACCACTCTTTCTGAGAAGCTGTTCTTCCTAATAGCCAAGCTGAAACTTTGCTAGTGCAACTTAAAGCATATTGCTCGTTACACAGGAAAACAGACTGACTCCTGCCTCACCACCACCTCTTTTCAGGCAGCTGTAGAGAGCATTAAGGTCTCTCCTGAGCTTTCTTTCATCCAGATTCCACAATCCCAGTTCCCTCAGCTATTCCCCATAAGACTTGTTTTTCAAACCCTTCACAGCTTTGTTGCCCTTCTCTGGACACACTCCATGGCCTCAGTATCTTGTACTGACAGGACCAAAAAACTGAACACAGTATGCAAAGAATAGATTTATACCAGACATTAAGAGGTAAGTCTTTACTGTGAGGGAGGTGAGACACTGGAACAGGTTGTTCAGAGAGGCTGTGGATGCCCCTTCCCTGGAAGCATTCAAGGCCAGGCTGGATGAGGCTCTGAGCAACCTGGTCTAGAGGGAGATGTCCCTGCCTACAGCAGAGGGTTGGAACTAGATGATCTTAAAGGTTCCTTCCAACCCAAACCGTTCTATGATTCTGTGACTATTGAAGGTGCAGCCTCACCAGAGCTGAATACAGAGAAACGTTCACCCCCCTGCTCCAACTGGCTGCACTATTTCTGGTACAAGGCAGGCTGCCAAGGGCCTTCTTGGCCACCTGGGCACACTGTTGGCTCATGCTGAGCCAACCAATCAACCAATGCTCCCAGGTCCATTTCTTCTACAGTCTTCCAGCCACTCTGCTCCAAGCCTGTAGCGTTGCCTGGGGTTGTTGTGGCCAAAGTGCAGGACCTGGCACTTGGTCTTTTTGAACCTCATCCCATTGGCTTCAGCCCAGTGACACTGTGTAGGGCCTTGGTATCCTGGGGCAGACCAACACTTTCAGCCATCTTGTGTCATCTGAAAACTTATTAAGGGTGCACTCAATCCTCTCATCCAGATCATCAATAAAGATATTAAACAGGACTAGCAGCATGCTCCCAGCACAAACTAAAATTAAAAGAAAGAAAGAAATAAGAAAAGGCAGCCTAAAATACAATGTAAGACTAATGATTTGGGAGTTTGATGATATTTAGAGGTTACCAATACTACACACTTATTCTTTAACGGGCAAAATAAACACAGAACACGCTGCTTGTTGATTTAGCTTGCACTCCTGGCAATGACTGCCAAAGGTATTTGCAACCCATGTGCAAGCAAACTAACACGGCTAATAGACGCACACGCCTTGAAGTTGTATGTATTAGCTGGACTACGAGTTGCCAGGGGAGGTGTGCAGACAACCACGCTGTTCCTGTCAGGAACAGCAGGCAGCTCCCTCAATCTATGGGGCCCTCGCACCCACTCGTGCCGCCTCCCACTCCCACCCGAGCCACCTCTCCCCGGGACGAGGCCCCAGGCCGGCCCCCCTGCCGGGGACACCAGCTGTGAGGAGGCAGCTCGGCGGCCACGGCTCCCCCACCGCTCCCTCCCGCCCGCTGTGGTGCCGTCGTCATGGCGACGGGGAGCGCCGCGCGAGCCCCTCTTCCCTGGGCTCGTGCCTCGCTGTCGCGCTCGGCCCGAACGGCGGAGCGCGGTACCTGCGTGCGCCCAGCCGGCTCCGGAGCACCGCGGCCAGCAGGAGGAGGAGAAAGCGGAGGAGGAGGAGACTTCCAGGTGGGCCTGGAGCCGCGGGCTATGCTTCGGCTGGAAGAGCTGATGGTACAGCGTTAGTTTGTCTCCGTATCAGAGCGGGAAAGTTAGTCCTTGTTTAGGAACACGTGAGTTTACGTACGTGCGTATGATGTACATAAAACTCTGGTCAGGGAGGCAATTAAGGCAAAAGCTCGCCCCAAGGTATTATCATAAGATTAATGATGTGTGAACAACGCTTCAATTAGCAAAGCTACATGTTTCTCATAACACGCCCTCCAGACACGACCTGTTAACCCTGCTGTGCAACACTGGAGAAGACCTGTAAGCCCCTCCGGTCCGACCACCAACCCGTCCCCCCGTCCCCACTCACGGCCCTCGGTGCCACGCGGCTCTTGAGCAGCCCCGGGGTGGTGACTGCACCGCCGCCCTGCGCAAAGCCGTGCAATTCCCTCTCAGTTACATCATACAGACAATTTGCACACTCGGAATTTTTTGACTGAGGTGACTTTATTAATAACCAACTGTTAATAACCACAGATGGGATTACAAATAGTGGCAAGACTGACTTTCGTTACTGTAGAAAAACTCCAGGTTTTCAGTCACTGCGTATCAACACCGTTTGCAGTTCTGACACCCAGTCTGGGTCATCTTCCTCAAAGTCCCTAAAAATAGATTTCAAAATGTTATTTTGCAAAGCAAAAAAAGTACAACCTCATAAAATCTTTACCTGCTTTGTATTTCTTTTCTTCCTAAAATTATACTCAGTAGGAGAAAATCTGTTAAAAACATCAACACCAAAGACTTATTCCCTGCACTTCTGTGATTAAGGAACTGGCAGGGACTCCCTTTTGAATTTACCCAAATAAGTTTTATCAGCTGCAAAGCCAGATGCACACACCAAGACACCGTATGTGTGTTGATGTGAAGGGTTGCTGTTGGACTGCAGCAGTACATCCCTGCCTGAGTAGACCATCTCCAAGTGCCACCAAAATAAACAACATATGCTAAGATTCTGACACTCCAAGAACACCCCACCCCAAATGCACACACATGTAAAATACAGTATTTTTCTTCAGAATGTGCTGACGTACTTTGCTTTTCCAAAACAGGAACATAAACAGAAGTTTAGAAGTTTCTACAAATGTATTTCAATAAGTAGGTGCAAAAGTGACTTCACTGCACTATGCAAGGAGTGTGAAGAATCATACACCAATGCAGCAAACACACTACTAGCAAGTGGTATTGCTGCTGTTGATTATCTGATTTCAAGGTCAGAGTACAAAGATATCTCATGCAAGAAAAAGGTTGCACATTACTGCAGATCTAATTTCATCTCCTTTTTTACAAAGTCACCAGCAAAAATAATCTAACAATGAGCAACTTCTTGAATCTCAACATCAAGAACTATAAATATAGCAAAGAAAGTATTTCTGATATCAAATGCTACTAAATTCTAATATCACTGTGTAAGAGAAGAATGAATTTAAGTGATAAGAAAAATACAGTTGTCTTTTTTTTTTTTTAATTAGAGGAATTTATGTATTAATTGCTTCAAGGAAACAAACAAAACAAAAACACAAGATGTCATTTGGACATACGTATCGTCTTCATCAGATCTAGGCTCAAGTCTCTCCAAATCTGTGGCAATATCTTCATGTTCCCCATCTAGTTCATCAGATGCTTCAGTTTCATCAGAAAGTGGACCTCTTAGAATATTTTCAGAAGCTTTGAAAGCATAAACCAAAATCACAAATTATAGAATAAAATTATTAAAAATGTTCTCTAGTTTGTCTCTAGATCTTTGCAGATTCCAGTACAAGCTCTTACCTATTTTAAGAACACAGATAAACCAGTAACTTAAGGTTGGATATCACAACAAGGCTCTGCCCCAGAGGTCAATGTGCCTGGAATAGGCTGTGCAGTGGGCACAGCCCTGAGCTGCCAGGAGTTCAAGGAGCATCTGGACAATTCAGATGTATGATCTGATTTTTGGGTGCTCTTGAGTGGAGCCAGAAGTTGGACTAAGTGATTCTTGCCAGACTAAGTGGATCTCTTCCTACTTGGAATGTTCTATGAGTATTTAAGTAGAGACAGAGTATTTACACCTGCAGCTCTGCATATCTACAGCCTATAGTTACCTTCCACCATCCTACCATCCTCTATTCAAAACAGAGCAGTATGACTCAGTGAAAGTGGATTCCCTGATGAGGCTACAGCCTAATTACTCCATCCCAACAACTCAGATATTATGCCACTTGGCAGGGTGAAAACTGTCAGACTCTTCAGGTGAAAGTCTTTCATAGATGCTGTGGGGATGTACAATCACTCAGGAATTCTCAGTTGGATTTTCTTTTTCAAGTTCACATTTAATTCTTTAAACTTTTACTGTTTAAAACAAAATGTATGTTGTTCATGTCTGTTGTGACATGTGCATCAGTGTTCAGTCTCTACACACAGGGCCTATCAATAAACATAGGAATTTACCTGGTTTATAAACTGTGTATGTTTCAAACGCTAAGCTGACATCTGCAGTACTGAGGATGTTCATCAGGGTCTGAGGAGTTTCCTTAGCCCACTGCTTACGTGGCTTACTTTCACTGTAGTTTGTAACAGAACCATCTAGGTATAAAATCATTATTAAATACAGTTACTCGGATGAAAACGCATTAGCAACATGAATTGCAAACATCACAGTTAAGAGAAAAACAAAGGTAGAAAACCTGTAATGCAAGCACCACACTGACCTCTCACAGCACACTGCAGGTGATGACATAAAGAGAGAAGAAAGAAAAGGAGAACAGGTACATCTCAACAACTGAGTTCTGCAGATGATGAGTTTTGTACAATATCTTCAATGTCACTCACTTCATGGCACGTTAAGAGAGGGGATGGTAGTGTAATTTCTTGGCAATAATTTTCATTTCAGGGTTGCTAATGTTAATTGTGGTTTTCATTACTCTTCAAAATGCTCCCATTACACAAGACCAGTAAGAAATCGTCAGTCTCAAATGTACCTTTTCTCTTCAGCACAGTGGACTTTCTGAGTGCTTATTAATAGGGTGTCTTTAAATGATTTTCACATCACTTTAAATATTTCCTGTGAAGTTTAGGTTTTTAACATCTGTAAAGAAGCACTGATATTATTTGAATGAAAATTGTGTTAAAACACATTCAATTAAATCTTACTTTTATTCTCTTCAGATGTAAAACTGGAAGAAAGCAAGGGAGCATTTTCCAGGACATCCACTACAGTACTGAATGTCCTCTTCTCCCATCGTCTCCTATGGAGATGTGTCAAATCAGTAACTCCTGAGAGGACTTCCAAAGTTTCTGCTGTAATTACAACAACAAAAGATGATCACCAGCAGATCTCACTGTTTGCTGTCCGTTCAAACTAGCACTGAGTGTTCAGCATTTCATATTTGATGCTATGAGCACAGTTCTTGACCTAGAAACAGGATGTAGAATAACCCCATCGAGTCCATTTACTCCATACCAAATGTTTTCAAACAGTTCTTTCTTAATACTTTGGCCAAGACTTTTTCAGGAACTTGAGATGATCAGTAAGAATCAATACAATTAGGAAGCAACAAACAGCAGCATGGATTTATGTAGATGCAGACTTGTGTGCTCTACCTGTTTAAATGTCTGGATCAAGAACATTTAAAATCACCAGATAGAAGGAAATTCATAAGCCTTAAAACTTACCCTCTTCATCTTTTTTCCTTTGTTCTCTTGTGCATTCATTCAAATCTTTAGTTGTATTTTCACTTTTCAACCACGTGCTACCTTCATCTTTGCTTTGCTTTAAGAGAATAAGGACTGTGTTAATCATTATCTTTGTTGGTTGGCCTAAGGATCAGAAAACTAAATTGCAGACACCATGAAAGCAGTGGCAACAGCAATTGCACTGGATCTATTATTACACTACAATCCACACTGCATGTTCTTTTCTTGACAGTCTCCTTTTGAGACTAAGTATGAATGTAGTTACTTGATGCAATTTGTGGGTTTGTTTTTTTTTTTTCACATTTGAAAGCAGTAGCAATATAAAGATAACATGAGTCCTATTCCCTGAGAGAACAAGTTGGACCCAAATATTAAGTTTCTCAGATTGACAGGTCTATTAAGAGAAAAAATGAGCCCTACTGACAACATGTTTTGAAAAATATACTCAATATGGCTGGGACAGGCTGTGCTATGATCTCCTCAGAAGTGTTTTCTTTCTTGGTCACTTGTTGCTTAATACTCCTCACCTAAAATCTCACATTGGTGCTAAAACTGGTGAGAATGATGTCCCCACTGGATTGTTTCTATAGGAGACTGTTCAAAATGTGTCCCCAAAGCAAAGAAAATACATGATTTTATGCAGCATCTTACATCTCAGAAAAGTGAGGGGTTTTATTTGTTGGTTTTTTTTACATAACTATAATGAAATCCACTTTAGAACTGAACTAAATGTGGAAAACATCAAAATGTTACAAAGGTCTGAAACTGGCATAGAAGACTGGTCTACAGTTTTAGCACACTAAGAGTTTCCAGAATGATATTTTTCTCTAATACAGAACATTCTGAACTGCCAAAATGTAAATAGCATATTTATAGTTGAACACCTACCTTACTTTCTTTCTTATTTGGGCCTCCACCAGCTGCAACACTGCCTGATACATTAAGGGACAGATTGAAGAGTTAATGCCTTTGGCAAACATCTGTGGTAAAGTGGTATTTGAGAGGTATGGCATCATTACCACTGAAGGAATTTCTTCCTTCAGTGAGGAAGAAGGAAAATTACTTCACACTCCTGTCTGTGCATCTCATTCTCAATGCTGAGTCCCTCTGAACCTTTCTGCAATAAAATACAACTGCTTGGGCTGCAGTTGTATATAAACTTGAGTGTCATTAAATGCATTCAGTGTAGTTAAATTAGATAAAATCCAAAATCTTCTTTAAACCAAATAACAAAAATAGCTTGCTTCACTGTGTTCTGGGAAAGAAAACCCAGTCACATTTAAAATAGATGCAACAGCAAAAAGTTTTGCTCATTTCAAGATTAACAAGCTTAATCCTAGCACAAGTCTAAGACTTAAAATCTCTTACTGCAGCACTGCACTGTATTTCTGACAGTGGGAATGTAATGATGTATAGCACTCAGCTATGCCCAATTAAAAGTCTTCTAACATGAAGCTTCATGATGGAATGCAATATACATTGTTCAAAGACTTTCCATACAAGTTCAGGAATATTAAACTTTGAAAGAATTAAAAAATGATTCAAGCATATAATATTAACATTTTACAGCTGTATTTAAGATCTTACAATTCCTAGTCACTTTATTACTCCTATATCAAGAAAAACATCACTGACACCTTTTGGTCTTATTGCAGTGCCTTTGCATTTCCTGGTTTCCTTTAGATCTTGCTTGAATTCTTCTGTCACCTGGAAGTGTATGCACAAATGTTAGAACTGTAAGATTTTAATCTTCCTCAAGCTACTGTATATAGTTTGTTAAAAATAGCCTTAGTATACAAAACTACTGTTACAGATCATGCCTTATTTTAGCAGCATGATGTCAATACTCAACTTCTCTTCTTAAAACCCTACAGAAAATTTGTTTCTCTGAGATGTCTACAAGTATATTTATAGCTTTTAATGTAGGATTTACATAACACATTTCATACTGTTGCATACTACCAAATTACAGATTTTATTTAGTGCCTGACACGTAGATATTATTGTTCAAATCCAGAGACAAAGACAATACTGTACCTCAGAAGGGAAACAATTTCTGATAAGTTTGGCTAAGCAACCTCTTGCAAGGATAGTAGTCGCTGACGGACGATTCTTGGGATTTCTCTTGAACATCTGTTTTATTAAGTGATGGAGTTCATAGCAGTAGTGAGCTGGCAGAGGACTGTAGGATCCTTTGCATATCTTAAGGATTAGATGTTTCCAGCTATTGGCTTGAAACTGCGTTAAAAATAAATGAACATCAGAGCACACAGTGTGTAAAGTATTCAATGAATTGATGTCATTGAAGAGCAACTTTAATATTTATTATATAATAATAGTGGTATGCATCTATGTAGACTCTCTCCAGTCATACTGATTTGGCTCCTGATTGGGGAATTTCAGGCTGTAATTCAGGTGTGCAACTATAACTTTGAGTACATCAGTAACTATTTTACATTTTACACAGCTATTAAATGGGCATTTATTTATGCTAACAATTAAGTAGATATAATTTCCTGAGAATTAAAACATCTCAGATATGTGAAGTTTCTTTGCTGCTAAAAAGGGAAGGCTGTTCTGCTCCCTCTTAAGCACTACCTGAAGAGCTGTGACACTGCCAAAGCCATGACAAAGACATACACAGGGCAGCACACTTCAGTGCCTCATCACTCAGTGATGTGCAATATAAGTTTCTATGCTAATAGCAGCTGCAGCTGTAAGGAATCTTCACAGAATCAGAAAATCACAGAATGGTCTGGGCTGGAAGGGACCTCAAGGATCATGAATCTCCAACTCCCCTGCCACATGAATCTCCAACCTCCCCATTTAATACTAGACCAGATCTTTTGCTGTTACAAAGGATTTCAAGCTATAGCAGTAGCTTGATGAAATGAAACTGCTGCTTATAGAACAACGTACAACAAAATATCCTTATGTTAGGATGATCTCATTTCCTGCCAAAAAAAAGTTACCTTGATAAGGCTTTTAGTCTTAGCCACGTGTCCATATAAAGAAGGCAGAGGAAGTTAACACATAGGGAGCATAGCATCAAACACATGAAATCCAGTGTACTAGAAGTGAACAGAGATATAAAACCATACATCCAGCTTCCCTCTGTCCCAGTAAGAGAACACTACTTAGACAGCAACTTAACAATCAGTCACTGATGTGAAGTTCCAAACTGCTTATTTCTTTCATTTTGCTGTAGTTGCATACAATGTAGACACGTTAGAAAAGATTTTGAGTGTCCTTGCCTCCATCTCCTGTGATCAGCTAGATCCTATAAAATGCAATGCTTGTGCCAACATCCCAACAGATATCTTGATTCAGTGTGGGACTCACTGGGCTTCTTATTAAGTCCCAAATCACCTCACTGATAGGAAGGAAAACCGAGTGAACAAGGAAAAAAAGAATTGTTTTCAAGCAATTTAGAAGACTGGGCATATCACAGAAGGGTTCAGTAGACCACGAGCTGCAGAAACACAGAAGGAAAGTAATGGAGGAAAAGTGGGAAGTGTAGAGCAGTACTTCCCTGTCTCAGAAAGAGCAGCAGCAAACACTTCAGTCAAAAATGTAATTTTCTACGAATCCAAGTTCAGCAACTACTGATTAAACTTTAAGGATTTTCAAAACTGTTCTAATATCCATATAGCCATACTTACTGGATGTTTAAGAGTGCACAGCTCATACAGGATGCATCCCAGAGACCATATGTCACTGTAGGCATAGAGAAAGATAAGAGAAATTGAGACAGAAATTACAGTTTAACAAGTAAAATAGTCCAGTAAAAGTGGAATTCACTATGTGTATGTAACTGAATTGAATAAACTAAAATAAATCTAACCATAAATCTATAAATCTGCAAATAAAAACTATAAAAGTCAACATGATAATGTGCTTGGCATCTCCAGTGGAAATGATCTTGCTTATTTTAACCCACCTTGAAGTAAATAAGGATAATGTCACACAACTGTACTCAGCTTTTTATTCCCAGAATGTCTTCTAAGCAATTTACTTCAACAATATTTATATCCTTCTGCATTGCAAAGCCTTTGTACTCCACAGCCCTGAGCATCAAATGGCAGCTACACAACCCTCATTCTGAGAACTGGAATTCTAGTCCCTGCCAACAAACATTTTCCTACAGGGAAAACATCACAATTTCACAAGGGCAAGTAATGACACCTGCAAAAGATACAACTCGACACTATCCTTGCAAGAGAAGCAGAAAAATCTTAAGCACTATAAAGCTCTCCTCTCTGCTGCAAAAATGAGTCACTCTGCAAATCAGATTCAGGTACAGCTCTGGTCACAGAACAGAAGTAGGAGGGGGGATATACCATGGCTCAGTAGCATCCAGTCTGTGAGGAAGCTGTGAGCACCATTCTGTCAGGTTGCTCACAGAAGTCCTTGCATAAGGACTAGAATAACTGGATTCAGTCAATCTAAGAGTCATCAGTTCTGTAGCCATCATCCCTACATTAAGACAGGCAAGAAGAGCTTAAAAAATAAAACAACCAAGAAACATACATGTATGTATATGTGCACATAAATACACATGTGTGTGTTTATGTATCTTATTTACTCTTACAAATGCACACAGAGGTCGGGACAGCAGTTTTTGAACTCCTAAGATTGAAGATACTATGTCTTCAATTACCTAAATAAAGAGGAATTTAGGCCCTTGCACCTAAGGCCCCCTGCCCCAGAAATTACTCCTTTCTCAATTCAATACTTGCCTGAAACCAAACAAGTATCAAGCACAAAGTCAGATAACTTCAAATAAAAAGTCAGTCAGTCATTATCTGTGACCACTGAAAACATGAATACCTTTTGTTGTTGTATGGCATGTTTTCCCATATTTCAGGAGGTACGTAGTAAGGAGTTCCCACGTATGTGCAGGCGTATGACATCGGGCTATTGAAATGACAAAGAAAATCCACATGAAATGTAATTCTTCAGGACATTTTGTACTATTTATGTATTGCAAAATAAAACAATACCACTGGAACCAGTGGAAATATCCACATACTGTGCAAGAAGCCGTGCAGATCCAAAATCTCCCAATTTTACTTTTCCATTTTGAGTGAGAAAGACGTTCTGCATTTCAAGAGAACAACAAATTCATACACTTAAATAATTTTTAGGAAATACAGTTTGTACATACAGAGAAGATAATGATGATCACTTCTGACATTTTGTATTTCCTTTTACTTGCTTAAGCTAATGCTTCTAGGACAAAAAGTTAAGCAGTATATTTTGTTCAAAGGTAAACAGAATAGCAATATAGACCCAAATTCTCAGCATCAGTAGCAGAGAAAGAATCAGAAATGCCTTCATCTCAGTGCTGTACTCAAAGCACTAAGGGCACGCTTCTGAGTTTCTACCTTTTTGCTAGGAAATAACAAGAAAGAAAAAATGAGAGGCAAAATAATCACAAACTGTTTACTCCATACACCTTTTTTCATGCCTCCATTATTGTTCTAAATTATCTGCAGTTTGCCAGAAGCACTCTATTATCAGTGTGGCTATGAAGGGCATAATTATATTAAGATGACGTGTAAGACCACATGGTTCCATACAAGTGAAAAACAGCATGTAGCAGTAGCAGGTAATTATAACAGAGTTGAACATCTGCAAGCAGAAGAGTTTGTAAGTAGCAAAAAAAAGCTTGTTCTGTTCACCTTAGATTTGATATCCCTGTGCAATACACGCTTATCGTGAATGTGCTTCACACCCAGGCACATCTGCACAAACCAGCAAAGGATCTGAAAAAAGTAATGAAGAGTAATAATGGCTCAATACTGCAGGTAAGGATTCCTTCACTAACAGAGTTTTAAAAAAAGCACAGAAGAAAGTGTGTTCCCAACACCTGAGAGTTATCAGTAACTCCAGCACAGTGACCCCAAGTTTCCACAAAAGGCTGAATCCTTTAAAATAAAAGTGTGTATTTTAATAAGGCAGAAAGAATGCTGTGCCTAGAAAAACAAATAACACACAACAATCACAAAACCAGGGAAGCAATTTTACGTGTGTCCTAATTATGATTTCATAGCAAATAAGCAGATAAAAAATACTTGCACTGAGATAATATAATGTTTCTAAAATGAATTGTGTTATTTTAAATGGCCTTAGAGATGTTGGGCCAACCTGAGGATGATATCAGTTGAGGATTCTGGTCTTTTCATTTTAATGAAGATGATGCTTATAAGTGGCAGGATGTGGCTTTTAAATCACAACAACAGAACTCCGAGCTTCCTCCAAAATAATTTCATAGCTTCAATGACAAAAGGAGTTCATGCATCACGTTTGCTTCAAACGCTCAACCGATGCATAATATTTTATTTAGTCTCTTAGCTAATTTCAATTATCTCAGCACAGTACTTTATTTACTTTTCATTTGCAGTACCTCTTACTTGACTGGTTTGTATTAAGTTCTTCCTTAATTGCATACATTTATGCATTCAAATCTGTATTTTGCAAACTGTTCACACATTTCTCAGATACAGACAGCAGTTTATTTCTTATTCCTTTTACAGTTCAGTACTTGTTCTGCTGAAATTACAAAAGAAGCAGTGCTTCTATTCCCTTGATGAGTCGACGGTTGGAATAAATGACCTTACTGATCTTTTCCAAGCTTAATGATTCTGTTATCATCTTATTTCATTTTAAGTAGTTTAAGGTGTTAGCATATCTATTACATTTTTTTATGTGACATAAAGTACTTCTTAATGTACTCCAGTTTACATGAAGAACAACTCCAAGGTCCTTGTTTCAAAAATATGTGTTTTCTTACCGTGTCTTCAGGGAACAACTTTCCTCTTTGGTGTTTAATCTTTTGCATTAGATCTCCATCATCACAATACTCCATCACTATATACAGGTGTCCATCAGCTAGATTTCAGGCAATTTACAAATAATTAGTAATTTAATGAACAGAATACATATATTACTGTTACTATCAAGTTCCAACTACATGCTAAAAATGTGGTCTTCGTGCCATAGCAGTATGCAACTTTTAATAAAACTTTACAACTAATCTTAAAACTTTACTGGGTTCAGTTTTGGGCCCTCACTACAAGAAAGATATTGAGGCTCTGGAACGTGTTCAGAGACAAGCAACAGAGCTGCTGAAGGGGCTGAAGCACAAGATGGCGAGCACCTGAGGGAACTGGGATTGTTCAGTCTGGAGGAGGCCTTATTGCACTCCATAACTCCCCGAAAGGAAGATGTGGCAGATGGTAGTCAGCCTCTTCTCCCACATAACTAGTGATACAACTAGAAGTAATGGCCTCACGTTGCAGCAGGGAAGGTTCAGGTGGGATATTAGATAAAATTTCTTCTGTGAAGGAGTGGTGATGCACTGCAACGGGCTGCCCAGGGAGGTGGTAGAGTCATCGTCCCTGGAGGCGTTTAAGAAACATTTAGATGTTGTACTGAGAGACATAGTTCAGTGGGAAATACTGGTGATAGCAGGCAGTTGGTTGGACTGGATGATCTTGGAGATCTTTCCCAACATTCGTTATTCTATGATTCTAAATACAGATATTTTAAACTTTTATATTTACCTTCAAATGATTCTTTATAGGCAACAACATTTGGATGTTTCATTTTAGCCAAAAGAATAGCTTCCTTCCTAGAGTTCTCTACATCAGACGAAGACTGAAAATGTAAGTACATTTATATAAAGGTCACTCTAAAACATTTTCATCTATACACTTGACACATATTTACACATGACATCTTTAATTTATTTTATTCTGTTATTTTAAGAATTTGCTTATATATATATTTATTTATATGAAAAATTTCTAATTTTTAGAAACTTGAAAACTATCTTCTTCACTGCAAGGTTTATTACTAATTGTAGACTTCTTCCTGAAAATATTGAGGGCTCAGTTAATGATTTTCTATTTTAACAGCATAGAACTATGCAACAACAAATCAGCACACACTGACTTTGGAACAGCTGACAGCTGTACTGCACAAATTCAGTGTAAAACCAAGTGCCCAAGTGCTAACTTAGCTTCAGCCTAGAGGAAGACAGAGCCTCCCATTTTGTGATTTTTTTTTGTTAGCTACGTGCAGCACAGGTAACCTGACTAACTGAATTTCAGCAATAATATGAGGCTCAATTCCCCATTAGACGTTGCAGATGAAATCTAGATTCTGGCGAAGTTGATAGGAGTCCAGTCAACTACAGTAGAGGAAGTTTTTCACCATGAGGGCAAGGATGCCCTGCACAGCTGCCCAGAGAAGCTGTGGGCTCTCCATCCCTGGAGGCACTCAAGGCCAGGTTGCACACGTGCGTTACTTACCACAGGAAGCCTAATTTCCTTCACGGCATACTTCTGGTCGCTGACTTTGTGCTGAACTAGGAGAGCTCTCCCGAAGGACCCTTCTCCCAATACTTTCAGTACTTCGTATTCTTCCATTTTTTACCGACTGCGATACCCGAGGCCCCAGGCCGCTTCCCGCGGCAGCAGGGCTCCCGCTACGCCTCGGCCAGGGCGGCAGGCAGGGGGATGCTGCGGAGCGGCCCCCCAAGACTTGGCGCTCGGCCCCCGAACGCGGAGCACCCCGCCGCGGGAAGGGAAGGAAGGCGGCACCCGGCCGCTCTCTGAGGCGGCGCCGCGCGGGAAGGCGGGGCACAGCCATGGCGGCCGCTGCCGGGTGGGGGTGACAGAGCGCAGCCCTTACAGCAAAGGCTGGTTAACAAGGAGCTGCGCTGGGCATCCTGCTGTCCCGAGAGACTCTGGGTGCTCGGTGCTGCACAAAACCCTGTAATCCAAGCAAGTATGTGTTTAGTATGCTAAGTGTACTGAAGACTAGTGCTCATAAAACACTGGAAAAAAAAAAAAAAAAAAGAGATGTCAAATATTAACAGAAGCGGAGTTAAAGCCACTTGAAGAAGATGAAGAATGTGAAGAGCATACACATTAGAATAAACTAAAATAATGCCCAGAAACTCAGTCCCAGGGCTGTAGCCATGAGCTGCAATTAGTTTCCAACCCCAAGCCTATAAATAAGACACAAACACAAGTCAGCTGATTTGTTTAATAAGCCTACCATATTACAGACTAACAGAAACCGACATAAGGTAGGTTAGTGAGATTATTCATGGCCAGATGACTAAAAGGATTGTACTCAGTTTTGTTGAAATACCCCCTTAAAAAAAAAAAAAAAAAAAAATAGAAACAAAATCCAGATACTGCAGTTTAAAACTGGTTGCATACCACACTAGCTAGTTTCTGTAGTAGATATTTCCCTATTGGAACTCCTAAGTTACTTTTGATCCTTAAGCAAAGAATTAGAATATACAATTCTGATGAACTCATGGGAATTGTAACAGGAAAGAGTAAATATTAACAATATAATCACTGAGCTGTTACATGAAGTGCGTTAAGCCTAATCTTTAAGTATATAGAATTAATCAGGTTTAACATGAAGACACTGATATCGTTTAGAACCAAACAGTTCCCTTGGATTTACCACAAGAGTTTGAAAACACGGGAAGATACAAGCTTAAAAACAGCATATTAAAACCAGATTTCATCCTAGGCTAACCACACAAGGTTTAGATAGCTCCTCTCCTAAGGCTGCTAAAACAACAACAAAAGACACCCAAGCTTTCTTAAAAATCCAATTCCTCCGCCCCTCCATGTAGTGTTAATGCCACTTCTCACTCTTCTACTTCAGCGCTTGTTTCTTCCAGTTTGTCATTCTGTTTATGGAGAAGTGCTTTCGATTCCAATTCCTGCAGCTGTTCAGATGAAGAGACAAGAGAATCTTTAGGAGTATCTGAAAGCTTGTACATCTTCTCCCGAATTCGTAGAGAGTACCTCAAAGGGGTTATAATCTTCAGGTCTTTAGCATCAGAATCGTTTCCATCATAGTGCATCTTCACACTTGGGAAAAGAAACAAATTACTTCACACAGGACAGATAAGCTATCTCTCTAGTACTTAGCAGAAGCAGAACTATAATTACTCCTATCCACTCTATCTTCCCATAGCTTGAAGAAAACAGTGAACAGGCTTCCCCATCCATACAGTTAAAGTTGGATATCCATCCTCTTTTTCAGGAAAGATTTTAGCCTTGTAAAAATCCTGAAAAGTTTCTAAAGGAAGAATCCTTCATCACTCCTTTCATCAGGAAGGAGGTTATCTTTTCACTGTCAGGGACAGCAGACAACTGCTAGGAGCCCAACTCAGCACATGGCAGAGCTGAGCACAACTTTCCCCAGTCTGTTGTCACAAAAGAAACATTGGGGCAAAAGAATAAAAAACAAAACAAAACTTCTCTGCTTCATCCCAGGACCCAGGATTACCATCCACAGTTTTTGTATCAAAATGCAATTACAGGACAGTTGCTTCTTGTTTATACCCTCTGTATTTGTTTTTTTACATACAAACACACTCATGTTTTTCACTGAGTGGGCACTGGAACAGGTTGCCCAAGGAGGCTGTGGATGCCCCATCCCTGGAGGTGTTCAAGGCCAGGCTGGATGTGGCTCTGGGCAGCCTGGTCTGCTGATTGCTGACCCCGTGCATAGCAGGGGGTTAAAACTAGATGAGCATTGTGGCCCTTTTCAACCCAGGCCATTCTATGATTCTATGTTTGAAAGGGTAAGCAACTGTAAATACCTGATTTTCCTTGACCTAGCTCACTGTAGAACTGGTACAACTACAGGGGCTCTGAAGCTACAGTTCTTCCTCTGCCACGAAGACATTTTAGTATAGTGAGGCATTTCAAAACAGGTAGTTATTATTAAGGAATTATTTTAAAAAGACTTTTTTGAACAAAGAAAAACAATCCTAAAAGCCTTGAGTACTTTTAATTGTACGTTCTCATATGCAATGCTTCTCTCTTTCAGAGCAGCACAAACATTACTTTTGGCTCAGACAGTGCTTCTTTTCAATAGTTACCTTAAATAACCTTACCTTTCCAAACAGGGGTTGGTAGATTCTTTAATGAGTTGTAATCCACCTGTGTCATTATCCTTCTCAGGAGAGTTAACTGTTTGAGCTGTATCTTTTACTCTGTCTTCACTCTGCTCTTTTCTTTCACACTTTTTCTTTTTTGCACGTTCTTTATTTTTGTGCTTTTTATTCTTTTTTGGCAAGATCTCTTCTTCTGGTTTAAAGACTAGGTCTGGTTCTTCTTTTTTGACCACTTCATTGCCAGTCTCTTCCTTCTTGTCATCGTTCTCTGCTTTCTGATCATCAACATCAAGATCCTTGAAGGTCTCGTGAACCTGCTCAACAGATGAATTGAGTTCTTTGCTGATTTCCAGTACCTCATTTAAATGAGTTTCTATCACAACTCCCCCTAAAAATGAAAAATGAAAGAAAGTGTAGCTGTGATTAATTACAGTTACAGAGAAGTTTTTAGGGATCTCTGAAATCTTAGTTTTGCACAAGAAAGAAAAAGTTAGAAAACTGAGTCTGGGCCACAACAACTTCAGTTACCAGTCATTTTATCACTTTAAGAAAACTCAGGCTAAGTACATCCTGAGAAGTCATTCCCTTCCTTCTCAGGTGCAGCAACTCTGAATAGAGTATTTCAGACAGTTTCTGAGATCAAATACTTATTGGGCTGTTCTGTAGCTACTTTGCTTCAAAACTTGGAGTATTTTCACCCAGCAATATGCATCTTCTATTGAAACAGCTCATATGTGAAAGAGGCAACTGACTTACTAAATGAAAAGAATTGCTACACATTGGATTCTCAGGCTAAAAAAAAGCTGGACAACATCAACTTGAGAGAGTTTAAGTAGTTTGAACACAAAAGCATCTCCAGTGATTTATTATTGAAGTATTTGTTTAATCAAGGTTGTTTTCAAATTAAGTACCAAATTCCCATGAAATAATTTCATATAGGCACAAATATTTTTAAGCAATTTGTGCTGCTTGTCAAGCCAGACATTGAACTAATGTGAAACACTCAAACTTACCATCCTCAGACTTAACCAAGTTTTCAGTGTTTCTGATAGCATCTATCAGCATGCGCCGTAGTTCATCTCGAGGCTAGAAAAAAGGTTTCAAATTTTGTTTTAGAAAAGCAATTCCAAAATCATATTTGAATCCATCTTATTTAGTATAAGTTACAGGGAAAGCAGTACATAACATACAGTGTGTACTTAATCATTTGATGCTTTTCAGACAAAGTCAGAAGATAGATGAATCCTGCACTTTCTGTATCCAGCTCACTACAGCCATATTTGATTACCTCAAACCTTGCTGATATTAAAGCAAAGGAATCAAGTCCATCAGGACTGCAAAACTGAGTTCTGTTTGGGTTTTTACTGATACTAGCTTTACTACTTTATTTCTTCTCTGCAGATCATCATATGGTGCTAGGAGTCAAACCTTATTTTCAAAAGCATAAAGGTATCTACAGCAATTACAAACCAAATCCAAGTTCTTGTGCTCAGACAAGTCAGGTGACCCTTCTGTCATACAAGTATTAAAATTAGAAGTAGCTGCATTTTTTAAATTTTTTTTTAAATACACACCCTGCTTTCATGCCTTTTAGTCTCAAACTTCAAGACAAGTTGCTCACCATTGCTCCTGCCAAAATAGCTTCCTCATAGCCAGCCACAAGCTTTTCAGGAGGGCCCATCTGTTCAAGACGCATCCAGCAGATCCAATATTTTGCAAGCTTTTTAGCCCCAGGAATACTCTCTGTCAGTTCTTCCAACATGGCACGTGCTTTGTTACCTTGATTTCCCTAAAGTTGAAGCAAAAAAAAAAGTTCAAGTGCAGTGAACATCCTGCAGCACCATATTTCAGCTACTTTTGACCCAAAAACCAAGAGTTTGTTGTGGTTGCTTCGAAAAGCGCCCCTGAAAGTTGAAGACAGCAAATATTTACAAGACTGAACTATGAATATGAGCTGAAGAATTCTCATTCACCTGTTCTTCTCAATGAAAACCAGTTATGCTATTCCTTTTATATAGAAAGCTGCATAGCCCATAGATACAGATGTGGAATTACTTCATAAAGACTTCCAGAAATCCAGGCATGTTTCTGCAGATGTGTTTTAGATTAGTTACTTCACAGCTCTTCTACTTTATGAAGTTACCATTATTGTCTAATTATACTGTTTAGTTGTGCAAGTTAGTAAAGTTGAGCAACAACTAATTTCTTCAGCTGCCAGCAAAATCCTATGATATTGCTTAACTTGAGGAGCAATGAATCCCTTGCATCTGATCCATAGGTCCGATACATCCACAATACTCCCATGCTGTAGGGCTCTATGAGTAGAATTTGTAGGCAAGAGACTGAGTACCTGCTCAGCTAACTGCAGACATTCTGTAAGAGTCTTGTTGACTTTTTCACTATTTAATTCATAATCTAAGAAACCACCAGTAGAAGAGAGTTCTTCATTCTTAGGCTGTGATCCCAGAAGCACAGATGTAGGCGGCCTCTTCATCACTTTCCCTCTAGATGCCCTCCATTCAGCCAGGCGAACTCTGTATGGAAGAACATTATTAGGTCTAGTTAATCAGATTTCATGATTTATT